CGCAACAACCCTCCGTGCCAATTTGCGCCACTGCGTCACAGAGCGACAAGGCCCCGTCGAAGGTCCCTCTTTAACAACAACACTATGACCGCACAACGAAGGTGATGGGTGAGGTGTAAAGCCTTGCCGGGTGTCTGGTGCGTGCCGACTTGCCTGTTTCGGTGGATCCTTGGGCGGCTTGGCCGGTAATGAGGCCTCCTGTTGTGGCGGACCCGGGATGCGGGCCCAGCAGTCCTTCGCGTAGTGGCCCTTCCGTCCGCAGCGGAAGCAATCGGCGTCGTTGCGCCGAAGCGCAGGCCTTGCATCGCGCCGCCCGCGTATCGGCGGTGCAGCACGAGAGGCCGGTCCACCGCGGCCTGACCATGGCACCGAGGCGGCCGTCAGCTCCTGAGGGCCCCGCTCATCCGGCACGTATACCGACTTCGTAGGGTCCCAACCCAGAGCGCCACCCTCCGCGACGGGCCCCCCTGTCCACGCCGTGACCTGTTTCCATCGTCGTAGGTTGAATTGTGCATCCAGACATTTCGCCGCCGCCCGGGAGGTGAGCTTCTCATGCCCGCACACCGGCATGGGAATCCCAAGATCCCGCGACAGCTCGAGCATCTTGCCCAAGATGAGAGGCTCGAGCAGGTCAGGTGTTGTATCTGGATACGCGGCCATAGCCAAATCAAGCACTGCACCCCTGTACGCCACAGGCGACTCCTCGGGCGCTCGTTGTCGTTGAGCGAATCGCCGATGCGCGTCGTCAGGTGGCTCGTAGGCGTCGGCCATTTCTTGAAAAACTCCATATAATGTCCTCTTCTTCTCGGCCTTAATGGAGCGATAAAAACGAACAGATTCGTCGTCCAGAAGAGTCGGCAACACTTCCAAGGCCTCAGCATCGGTCCATCTCGCAGAACGGACCGCCGCTAAAAATCTGCAGGCGAAAGCGCTCCAGTCGCCCCCAATGGCGAATTCCTTGACCGTGGTGAGATGGCGACTCCGACTTCGCTTCACTCCGCCCTCCGCCGATGGTTCCTCCGGAGGCAAATTCAAAATGGCGTCGAATCGCGGCGTGGTCAAGATGGCGGATTCCCGCCGCGGCACGCGCAAGATGGCGGCCTCCTGCCGCGTGGCCCATGGCGCCGGGAGTGAAGAACCCGTGGCGGCCTGTGGAGCACTCTCCGCTCTCTCCGTCGCCGTGCTTGGGGTGACGAGATGACACAATTGGCCCAGGGCGTCCTTGAGAGTCTCCAGTTGCTCAGCCACCTGCAGCCATCGCCGATCAGCGTCTGATGGTGTCGGCGGCCCTGACACTGTGGCTACATCTTCCACTCCCGTCCCCGCACTCGTTTCAGCAGGGCTCTCCTCCACCACCCTGGCAGGATCCATGTTTGGAGGGAAGTCTTCGTCTTCGGACGAAGAAGCCGATGCCGGCGCTGGAACATTTTTCTTTCTCACTTGTTTCGACATGCCGTTGCACTTCCGACACCAATGTAATAAAGGACTCGACCACGATGTCTGGCTTGGTGTCCTTTATTCGGTTCTTCTCTCTTAACCCGCACGGCTGTCCTTCTATAAGACTCTATACTGACACTGATACTGCTCTCCCGCAGTTTCTCCCCTCGTCGTTCTCTCAGCCTCTCTCTCCTCTCGTCGCTCTCGTAGCCTCCCCCTCACACACAGCCTCGCCGGCTGTGTTCCCCGCAGCTCCTCGTCCGCCTTCTCTCCAGCCGCCCCACCGCTGTCTTCTCTCGCAGCTCCGCTGGCTGCTCCCTTAGCTGGCCACCGCTGGCCGCCGCTGCCACCCCTTGGCTTTGCCCACGTGGCCTTACTCTGGTCCAGTCCCACTCGTTCTGCCTTCCTCTTCCGGTCTCCTCCCTTAAGAACCTTAACCTTTCCTCCCACGTCACCTAACTCCACCTCTCCGTGACGTCACATCCGGGAGGTCGCCCGCGCCCGCATTACATATCCATCACGTCATCAGTGCTGCCAATTCCCGTTAGAGGAACGTCGCCAAACAAACGTCACCCCCCCCCAGATGTCACAAGGTGGACCTTTTAAAGACGTGAATATCGTCACGAGACAATTTACCGAGTATTAAACAAAGTAAACTGATACAGGATCCTTAAAAGATACCCTGGAATTCCCCCAATGTCTGCATCTTGTACTCGTTCCCAAACAACATTTTGTCCCTAGGAAAACCTAGAAAGTTGCGAGATATAGCGACAAAATCGCCAAGTTGGCAACACTGCAGAGGACCACTGTGGTAATAAAATATTTTCAACTGCCAAAAAACAGCTGGCTGTCGTAGCTTAAAAAATACAAGATGAAAAACTTCAAAATTCAACTAAACATAGGCTAACGTAGCTTATGGTTATGTAAGGTCATGTGGGGACACCTTGGGGTAATGCAAGGGCCACGTAAGGACACCTCGGGTAAAATCATTCATGATCGAGAGCACGCGCACGGCGCGGGGAAAGCATTGGGGATTGGCGGAGGATTCCGAAAAGAGGAAATTGGCAGGAGAGGGAAAAGAGGGAGAGGAGAGAGTTGGAGGCAGGCGACGTTTAGTTTAGGGTATTTTGCTTTGTGACACAGATGGTCCCATTTAGCCAGTTTACCCGGCTATTTTACGCAGGAGGTTCGTGGTGCTGCGTGAGCACAGCAACGGCAACAAAAACAACAAAGACAAAAACGTCAATGCTGCAGAGAAAGAGTACAGCAGGGTCCTTATGGAATATTGCACAACTAACAAACGAGGTATTTGAACAGTCGTAAACAAAACACATGCAAATCAAAACAGTGCAGATATAATATGAAAGCAAGAGGTGCCCGAAAAAGTTATGTACAGGTAAAAGTAAGCTCTATCCAGTATTTTAATTTAAACATTGACATAAAACACACGCAAGTCGAAAAAGACAGTGCAAACATGCGGGAGCAAGAAACGCCAGAAAAATGTTCTGTACGGGTTAAAGTAAACTCTGTGATTTGGTTTGACTAAGGAAATAAAGAGGGGGAGTGAAGGGAGGGAACCAAGCTGTAGATGAACGACACCGAGTATTTTACAGCTACATAGATCAGGGCTGTTAGAAGAGAACAAGGGACAGAATTTGTGGGATAGAGGATAGCGAGGAGCTTTGAGAAACCTTCCGGGAGGTTCCAGAAAGATTGAGGTTATATAAAGGGGGTTGTGACATATGCGGGACTTTTTGAGGAGGGACTGTAGAGTAATCTCCCATGAGTGGTATTCCCTTACTGAAGAAATATTTAAATAAAACTATATTTTAGCTTACCAGGTAAGGCCCACTGAGCTATATCGCTCTTTTTCAAAAGCGACCTGACCACAAATGATAGAGCAATGAAGTGGCCTATAGTGTGGAAATTTATCGCAGCCAAATACTCGAGACGCGTGTTAATTATAAATGTGGAGGTAAAAACCGGAGGACCCGGAGAAAAATCCACACGACCATGGAGAGAACATGCAAACTCCAAAAATACAGGCGTCAGAATCGGGATCGAATCCACGACCTCCTGTATATCGGACGAGGTAGTTAACATCTCGCCACCGTGGTGCCCACTTGCTACCGTGGTGCCCAAAGTATCATCACTCCTCAGCCATTTATAAGGTCGAGCTCATTACACACAAAGTGCTTGCCACAGATGAACCACAATACTTCTCTGATCTCGTCAAGGAACATAAACCATCATGCAAACTCCGGTCATCCTAGCAGAGGCGGTTTTTTGGCTAACCATCGAACAAAGGAGGTCACCGCATTGTGCGCTTTCAGAAGCACTTCTGCGGCCGTCTGGAACGCTCTTCCTTTTGATATCAGGAACCCACTGGAACTATGCACTTCTAAATCCAGATTGAAAAATAATTTCTTTAGAACTGCTTTTTGTGTTTAGTTTGTTGTCCTTCCCCGGCACCTCCGATTAGCACGCTTGGCTACATATGATGTGAAAGAAGGTTAACATACATACACATACATAGCCTAGCTCCCTGCCTCCAATGAAAAGTGTGCAGAACAAGGGCTGCGAGTAGCATGTTGTTAGGGACACAAAGCAGCCTTGCTTAGCTATGAATTCTGCATCGCTCTGGCTCGCTCGAAACCATTCGTGAACTTGTCAGATAAGGTACTGGGAGCACGGAGCTGTTGGCTCTAAATTAAGAATAACACTTAAGAACAACACTGAAACAAACACGCAAACTTGGGCGGTCAAATTTTATGCAATGCCACATTGTTTTTTGTTCAAACAACAGAAACATCTTGTAACAAAAACAATTGTAATAAATATGCACACAGATATAATGTGTATTATTAAAGATATATACAGTATGTTCTCCTATAACGTAGGTAGTTGCGTTCCTGAAGAACACCGCGTTATAGAAAAATTGCGTTATAGTAACTAATATAATATAGGGTAAAGCACAGTCCGCAATAACACGTGAGATGCGTACGCAGGCCGAACAAAGACTGAGGCGCATGGGTAGCATCTAGAAGCATCCAGCAGCATCCCGCCTTGTATGATACGACGCTGAGGCAGTCGTACAATCGCTTATTCCTACCTGTGTGACGTTGTTCTGTCGACTAATTCGCATTATATCCAATTCAAGTCACGAAACCAAGACGCGTTATGTGAGAATCGACTGCGTATGTATATATATATAAACTTCGATTTAAAGCTTTCATGACTGTAGGGATTCATCTTCTTGGTTCTTTCGGTAAAGTCACGTAGAAGGGAAATAATGAAATAATAATAATAAAACATCATAAAATACAATTCTCACGACAGCGTCTGAAGTCATTCAAACGCTGTCTTTCCGACAGACCTGTTCTTCACCTGAGGACGGCTGCTTGCGTTGTGGCCAAAACGTCGTGAGAATTGTATTTTATTATGTTTTATTTTTATTCTTTTATTATTTCCCTTCTACGTGACTTTACCGAAAGAACCAAGAAGATATATAAACTTGTTATGTTGTTAGTGTATTCATCGATGCTTGGAAATGCGTGTAATACCCTCCTGTCGATGCAGGCAACCGAGCGGCCAGCAAAGCGGGAGGCGACGCCACGCTGCACATTCACCGGGTCGCTAAGGATGTCCTCCCAGCGCCCATTACGGAACTTGAACAGCTTATCCGAGTAAGTAGCCATTCCTGCAGGGCACAGAGCAGGGGATAATATATATGTAACATCGGTGATGCGCACATTGTTCCACACAAAAACAGCACTGTGGGCGAGATACGCGTATGGCCCTTACAGGTGAATAATTATTACATTTGGTATTTATGCCATTCTTTACAACCACAAGCTTATCAGGAAGAAGCTCTCTTGCACGGACGGTCATAGCCCGCCAGTGGGGTGACGATGTTGTTGCTGTGTGGTAACAAATGGGGTCATTTGCAAGAGGAGTGCCGACCGAGGGGTTCAGAACGGAAGGAAGACTATGTGGAGCAAAGCCAGAGGCAGACCGATTCAGAATGTGGACATCAAAAATTGTGAACATCAGAGAAATGTGAAGGGATTAAAATTAATGCAGAGAATAAGGGAACTTTGGAGAGCACGAGAGGAGAAGGCACCCGATCATGAGCTGTTCGTGCGTTTAAAACAGCATTGGGTCTAAGGCAGCCAAACGCAAGCATAAAAAATATAAAGTCCACCACAAAGACGACGGTGTTTTTAGCTTCACATTATATAATGAGATAAATCTCTTAAAATAAATCGATTTGTTTGATTGCATATTTAAAATTAACTGGACCAAGCCAACAACTCACATTTACTTTATTTCAAACTAAGACATTTGCAATGTACAGTATGACGTAATTTGCATACAAATGAAGGACACTGGCCGTCAATGAAAATTGAACGACTGTACGTTGTTTCCCAGAGGCTCCATGGTTGTCCACTTTTGTTTTCAAATGAGACCTTGGGAGCCGTTTTAATTAATATTGGTTTTAGACCAGGTGACTTGAATACGATCATGCAATGATATCACTCAAGAGCAAACACAACTTAAAAGGTCAACCACAAGGGAAACCGAGCATCGTGAATAACCAGGGCACACGTCGGGAGAGAGATAAAGGCTTTACAGATGGGGACTTGAGAAAAAACAGAATAGGGAAACTTGGCATGCAGCAGTTAGCAACGTATGCAAAACGTGGATATGATTTCACAAAACATGGACATCACGTAAATTATAACTTTTATGAAACGCGTATGTACGGGATGCTGTAATACGTTGGTACGCAAGCACAGTGCAATAGATGCAATTCCAAGCTTTTTGTGTTGTCAATTACCCACAGCTAAATTAATATACATTTCGGTCATTGTATTGATTTTGGCTTTCTCACGATTGCTAGGGGCACACACATCTGGTCCAAGTTCTTTGGTGTTGCACAAACGTCCGTGGAAAATACATCCGAGATGTTTTTTCTTCAATTTCAGACAATATATTTATCTTCGTATTTATTTGATTGTCTTAAAAAAAGAAAAATCATAAAATGTGACCTTCTGTTTTTAATAAAACAGATGCTTTTTCCTTGTTGTTTATTTCTCATCAGCCTGAGTAGCAACCGAGCTCTAATGACACCGCGATCCCCCAGGATTTGCATCCTGCAGTGTGAGGAATGCTGATTTAATGTCCCATGCTTTAGCTACCCTGGCACATATGGAACTGGAACAAAAGCATATTATAAATGCATATGCAGTATACTATAAATCACAATGCACATTTCAAGCAATTACCTCTATTAAAATGTATATGGTATATAACAGCAGTTTGTCACTCGAACGAGCGTGGTGGAGTGCGCTTCTAAACATTCACGATCACGAGACTGTGGCGGGATTCCACGTTCCGATGGCGGGGAGTATTTCGTGTGTATATATTTGTTATAATGCATTGTCAGGAAAAAAGGCGACTGTCATGTTTATGAATACATTTCGAGTCCCTTGCATTAATTCCTTTGTTGGGGCTAAATACCTCCTGTGTCCAAGGAGCGAGATCTAAACTGCAAGCATGATGATGAATGTATTAGACAAGCTAGATTAGCGATGAATTACCCACTTGTGCAGGTAGGCTCATTAAGCTACAGGGGTAAATGCAATCCACACAGTTGGCTAAAATGTTGGTGACTATATTGCAAGTAATCGAACCAATCAAGCATCCATGGCAGGTTCCCGTAATATACGGTAGAAAACAAACGTTTTAACAAGTGCATAAATAACTGCCCAAGTATATCTCGTGGAGATGCTTTCTCATTATATCATTGGTAAGCATTCCCACACATCGAAAGAAGTCACTACAAATCTAGTTCAGCCACGTTCCATCCATGTTCCAGCCAGTCAGGGTTGTTTCTATGAACGGTTCTGAGCAATGCTACGGTCATCTAATAGAGCTGCACGACATAATGCCGAAAAAGAGAAGTTGCCGAGCAGAGAGATACATGACAGACGTGGCCGCCTGTGCCCATCCTCGAGGGAAAGTGGTCCACCCTCTTTCTGGAAAGGAACCTAAATTTAACTTAACACTTGCAGAGTTTCCACGTCAGCCTCCATCACAGGCAACGTCAAGGTACACGAGATGTCGCATAGAAGCTGTTGTTGTTGCTGCTTCATGCCAGTAGTGATGTGCCAAGAAAGTAATGGTGGGCAGTAAACCAATGCACGTTCCCCATATGTAGGCTATACCACAAAACATCAATACTTTTATGCAATCGTTTGTTTTAAAACAGCACTCTCTGCTCGAAAATATATATTATACATACTGGAAATCAAATGATTTGTAGATAATTTGAGAGAGCAAATAAACTGATCTCTCTCGGCACAGGTTGCTGTTTTAACAGACCATACATTGAGATTTTTTGTCTTATTTAATGATGAAACATTGCAAAAGTTAATAATCTCAAAAAGGTAATGTTTATTGTATTGCTTATTTTGTGTAATACAATTAAATTCAACAACGAGGGCGTATTTTATTTTCATTTCATTCTCTTCGAGCAAACCGACGCAAAACGTTTCTACCTTCTAAAAACTCTTAATTATAATTGGCACATTGTGATCGGTCAGTCCTACAACGAGAGGCTGCGGCATTCATAGATAGAATTTGATGAGGTCAACTTACAAATCAGCGTCCACTTGGTTTCAATACGTATGCAGTATTACATTTCATGAGAGGGTTTTGTTTGGGTTAGATAACATAAATATATAAATGTGTTGTTAAACCCACCACCACCCGACACAGCCGATTAGTAAGGTATGTCACATGAACAAAATGTGCCAATTCGTATCTAGTTCAGCACACGACTGTGTTGGAGAGTAAACCCACAACATTTACAATTGTCTCCAACACACCAGTGTGCTGAACTAGTAACGAATTGGCATGTTTTGTTTAAGTGATAAACCTTGCTAATTGGCTGCGTCGGGTGGTGGTGGGTTTAACGACACATTATATTTACGAGATCTAAACGATAAAAACCTCGATTTGGGATAATAATGGTCGCAAAAGCCGACGTGTTGAACAGTAATGCATTTGTTTAGATGTTCTTACCTGCTTACAGTACCTAATACTCAAGGCCAAGGGACGCTAACACAGTGGTGTACTTGGTTATCAGTGCACTGGAGTTGTAATCCAGAGGTCGCCGATTCGATCTCCCGGCTCGACAGTTGAAACAACGTAAGTTTATTGTTTTTAAATAAATATATAACTTTTCTTTTTTCATTCTATAACCCAGAATGGAAAGCAGATAAAAAAAACTGCAGGTTACGTGTACCAAACTCGGAGCAATGCACCCTCCAAATTTAGTGATCGATCAGAAGCGCCTGGGCTCACTGCCCTACCACAGTAGGGGTAACGGTCGGGAGCAGTGTATTTAAGGGGGAAGGCAAGAACATGGGGGAAGGGGTGAGGGGAGGAATAATGTAACCGCAATGTAAGTTTCTTAAATTCCACCTCCACCACCTGCCCCGCCAACTCTGTCCACCCAGTTGTATAAGTGGATTCACCACAGTCAATCGGCAGGTCACGTGTGGTGGAATACTTCTGGCCTGCATGGAAGGGTAGGCCAAATGCCCTGCAGAGGGGGGCTCTCTCGAGATCCATCTCGTTAAGACCCTTCAGCCAGCCGTGGCGTGAGCGAGCAATTGCAGGGCAGCACCTTTAACTTTGAGTACTCAAGCCACAATTGTTTACATTCATTCAGAGACAAATATATATTATAATGCATATTCAGAAAATAGGTGTTAAAAAGGTAATTGTGTTTTTTTGTATCAAATGGGCTATATATGCCTATGCAGCCGATTCATTTATTGGTCATTGCAGATTACGTAAGCGTGCGCGTTAGGTGCAAGCCACAGCACCCATTGTGAGCATTGTAGAAAAATGGAGATACCAACAGATCTGCCTGTTAATTGAACACAAACGCTGGCTGTCACGCAAAATACACCATGCCACAAAGGTGAGGACCAAAGCATTACTCATGGGCGTCTGTCAACATTGCTGCCATTTAAGTGTGCGGAGTGTACATTCCGTTGGTGATTTGTTTAACATCCAAACAATTGCATCGCAAGTTGATGGTGTACGTCTTAATTGTGGTTTTGCATAAGCACAACCGGTAGGGCTGCTTGCTTTGATGTCCACGTTTATTTGACTTAAGTCCATAATTGTGATGTTTACACTTTCACACTTTTATGACTCTCTTCAGCATCACGTTTCTTTGCAAACATGAAAGATGAGGGTAAACCCTGTTAACAAAGTGGCTTCATAAGCACCTTTAAGAACCATAGCTTGGGAGGTTTTTTTGGTGTGAATTTAGTTTCAAAGGCATATTACTGAAACATAGTAAGCCGATATTTTCACGATTATTCCGGGGAAGTTGATTCTGAAATTGTGACGGTGCAATGAGATATATAGCTCCATCGCTGACTTAATCGCCTCCTATTATGTTTCGTTCTGTCCGTCCTGTGAGACTTTATACATATCCGCTAGCTTTAGAAAATCTCCTGCCAACCGTCAGACGATCGCCAGCAAGAGTTGTGTCATCTGGCGGCCAACATTGGTTTCACGTGTTGAGGCCGCTGTCTCTAGCTCAGGCAGGGAGTTCTCTATCCGCTCATTCACTTGGCTGAGCACAGTCCGCCTGGGAGCATATACACCGTACGG